GGTAAGAATATATATATATATATATCCAAAGAGAAGCAACTGAAAGCTACTACGAAGTAAAGAGAGAGAGAATTCACCAAGTCATCAGTTACAAAATTAACTCCCAGAATTCAAAAGCTTTCATAAGTAAACACAAGACCATATGTTCATTTAAAATAGCAACACAAAATATAAGATACCTTAAAATAAACTAAAAAATAAATAGACAAAAGCTATACAAGGAAAACTCCTGGAGAACACAATTTTTTGCTTTTCTTATTAGGCATTTAATTTATCTAAGTATTTTTGCCCAAAGTAGGGACCTAATTTTGGATTTTCCTTTATGAATAATCAGTAAATGTATCCTATAATAAATTGGTTCACAAATCCTACTCATTTGTGGAATCTAAAAAGATTTCTTAAATCAATCTGTACATTTAATACAACCAATAGGAATGTTTTTTCAACAGACAAGATAATTCTATGGACAAAAATCACATGTATCTAGAATAGTTTTATACTTTTATATAGGGAGGGGGTACTGGGAATCAAATTCAGAACCTTGCACCTGCCAGCCCGGTGCCAGTCCACTGAGCAATAGCCCGGCCCTCTAGAATACATCCAAGATATGCGTCATGTTTATGGTGAAATGGCAAACCAGTGGAGAAAAGATGGGTATTTGGCAGCCATCACGAATGAAATAGAGGTCCACAGCTCACTCCTTAGATCACAAAAAATTATGAATGGATCAGTGATATAAATGTGCCAAACCAAACTATTCAAGCAATCAGAAAACATCAGTATTCTGCCAGGCATGGTGGTGCATCCTGTAATCCCAGCTCTTGAGAGGCTGAGGCAGGAGGATCACTGAGAATTTGAGGCCAGCCCATGCTCCAAAGTGAGTTCAAGGACAGCCTGAAGCAAGACCCTGTCTCAAAAAATCAAAAACTGAAAAACAAACAAAAAAAGAAACAAATAATTTTATAACCTTGGAGTAGGAAAACGAATTCTAATGCTTAACCCTTACAAGAATTTGTCCAGTGGGGCCAGGGATATAGCTTAGTAGCATGAGCACCTGCCTGACAAGCTCAAGGTACTGAGTTCAATCCCTGGTATGAGAAAAAAAAAAAAAAAAAAGCTTAGACCAGCCAAATAGCTTGGTGGATTAATGCGCCTGCTTAAACAGACAGGGGCCAGGGATTCGATTCCCCCGCGTGCTGTGCTGGAGGGGCAGCAGGGCATGCTGAGACATCAATTGAGACTAGGCGTGGTGGCGTGCGCCTGCAATCCCAGCACTTGGGAGGCTGAAAACAGGCGGATCACTACGAGTTCAATCTGTGTAGTGAGTCCCTGTACTAAAAAAAAGAAGAAAGAAAGAAAGAAAGAAAAAAAGAAAGAAAGAAAGAAAGAAAGAAAGAAAGAAAGAAAGAAAGAAAGAATTTGTCCAGTAAACTCAGACTTACAAATTCAAATATTATTCAGGAAAAAAAAAAACCCAATGAATCAACTGAAAAAGGAGATACTGCCACATACCACAAAAGACTAATTTCCTTAACAAAGCTATGCAGGTCCTGGGTAGAAAAGCATCAAAACCCAACAGAAAATCATGGAAAGCCACAATGTACGAACAGGCCACTCGCTGAAAAGGGAATTACAAATATAGAAAATCTAATGTGTGAAAACACTTCACATCCCCAGAATAAGAGATAAATGCATAAGATAATTCTTTGTAGGAATTATAGTTTATTTTGTGTCCTTTCTGAGATATTTAATATGCTAAATGCATAAGGTGATACGACTCCTGCAACGAGCATCGTAGCATCAGTGAACATTAGCAGTGCACGTTGTCTTTGACCCAGAATTTCCACCTTTGGTGATTTATTCCATAAATGCAATTACAAAAATGGGACAAGATGTATGCAGCTTACTAATAACAGCATTGTTTTAATAGTAAAATAACATACGCCACTTAATTTCCATAACAAAGAACTGGTTTGAAAGGTTGTGATACATCCAAGCTACAGCTTTTTGTACTTACACAGAAGAGTCTCAATATTTAGGGCCGAGTGAAAAAGCGAAATATGAAGGGCTTTTTTTCCCACACAAATAGCATGCTGCTGAAAACAGCAACACAAGAATACGCATGTACTTTTTAGTATACATATTAAATATCTCAGAAAGGACACAAAATAAACTATAATTCCTACAAAGAATTTAATTGGTGGCTTGGGAACAAATACAGGAAAAAACTTCAAAATCTTTTAGTTTGAGATCATAGGAACATACTGAGTCTTAATACTAAAGAAATAAAAACTACAGAAAGTACAGGATACTGGATGAACAATTTAAGTAATAATTTAGAAAATAAATATATAAAAATCAGCAATGCTCTAGGTAAATATAAATTGTCAAACATCTCAAAAAGAAAAGAAAATTAAATCAGCATGTGTGTGTGTACCTGTTTTGAAAAGCAGCGTGTCCACACCACTTTGCATGGCCCAGACACCTGACTCCATGACGAGAACAACCTCTGTTCAGTGCACACCGTTCCATTTTATGATGCTAGTGTAACCTTCCTGATAAAATCAGGCAGTCACTGGAAAATGACGAGCCGGATTCACTTCTGAGCTTAACAGGACAAATGCTAAATAAAATATTAGGAAACCCAACCCAGAAGAATATATTTTAAATGCCCTACCCCTAAGTAGAACTGAAACCAAGAATATTTTTTTACAAAATAAACATTAGACAACAAAGAAACAAGAAAAATATTTTAAAATACATACTAAAACATGTTCTAAATGTATACTATTCAAGAGACTTCTCAGAAGAAGAAATAGAAATGAACAATAAATATATAAAAAATATTCAACGTTACTGGTCATTCGAGAGATGTAAATTAAACAACACTGAGATTCCACCTCACCAGAAAGAGTGGCTAGTTTCAAGAAATCAACAATTCTGAATCATTTACAGAAAATATCTACCAGTATTAATCTGTACAATTCTTATGATTAAATAACTCCATTTTGGGGCTGGCCAGATAGCTCAGCAGACTAACATGTCTGCTTAGGCAAGCGCTAGATGATCAGAGTTTGATTCCTGCATGCTGTGCCAGCTCCACCCTCAGGGCACGCTGAGACAGCGATTGAGACCAGACATGGTGGTGTGTGCCTGTAATCCCACTGCTTGGGAGGCTGAAAACAGGAGGATCACTACAAGTCCAATCTATGTAGTGAGACCCCTTAGACCCTGTACCAAATACATTAAAAAAAAAAAACAAACTTCATTACACTCTTGTGTATAAGATGACTTTTAAAAGAAGTACCTTATAGCACTGCATGCAATAGTTAAGAAGTTAGAAGTTATTTCAATGTTCCTGAGTATTGGATATATTACATATTCATACTGAAGTATTAATGTAGATGATTTATATGTATCTCCAGGAGTGAATTTTTAAAACATATAGTTTAACAAAAAATACATATGATTTCTTTTATGTTGAGTGGTAAACATTACATTAGATGGTAAAAATGTAAACACAATCAAGATGAGAACATACCCATCTATCATTGTCTCTGGGGAGCAGAGGAAGATAAAAGAGATGATGGAATAGGCATCGGCCATATCCATAAAGTAATATTTCTTTCATAAACATTATGTCCAAAAGTTGATATTTGGGCCAGGTGTGGAGGTGCATGCCTGCAACCCTAGCATTAGGAGGCTGAAGCAGAAGGAGCACCATGATTTCGAGGCCAGCCTGAGATACATAGTAAGCACAAGACCATCCTGAATCACGTATCAATACCCTTGTCTAAAAACAAAAACAAAACAAGTTAAAATTTGTTGGTAAATATTAATGTAGGAGCTTGTCACATAATTCCCTGTCCTACACTCTAGGGAAAGAACTTTGTCTTGTCTGATTTTTTTCTAGAAGCGTGCTGACTGTGCACAGCCCCACAATCTGGGCCGTCTCACCTGGGGCCAAGCTGCCTGCTGTAGGCTCGGACTTCCCTTCTGCAGCCCTGCTGCTGTCATAACATCTCACTGCATGTTGGATCTACAGTGCTACCGTGCAGAAAGCTGCCTGTGAGCGCGTCCCGGGAGGACACTGTGTATGCTGCCATATCTAATTCCCTCTTTGCGAGTAGAGGGGTGCCTGTTGAGCCTCCAGCCACCATTATCTGAGGCTGGGTCTTGGTCCCATATCCTCCCTGTGCCCCTCACTCTGAAGTGGGTTTTCTCTGCGTTCTGAGGATTAGCATCATTAAGCTTCTAGTTACAGAACTTATTCTTTCTCAGTCACCTCTCTAGGTTTCCTCAACATCCGACAACAGTGTGTAATGACATTGTGCCTCTTACCTGGCTTCTGGTTTTGACTGTACATTTCCCCAAGGTTAATATTTACCGCCAGTTGGGAATTTGAACTGTATGCAATTTTGTTTTGGTTTGACCTGAATAAGTAGTTTTGATCTGAGTGTGATATTCTGGCTACTGTATTCTCCTCCTTAGTTTCCAAAGAACAGAGAAACTGAAAGCACTATGTGCTTTTTTGTACTTGTGGTTTTAACGTGTCTAGGCTGAGTTCATGAGATTTGAGGGTCTCTTGGTTACCTTTAATGCAAAAGCTACACGGGCACCTCAGACATGGACTCCACTGGCAAACGGCGGGTCTGAATAATGTAATTTCAGTATGCTGAAGTTGAAATTATTATATTTCTGAAATCATGATGAAAACATGATCTGAGACAAACACATCTGACTTACAACTTATTAGAAAATTTGTAATAGGAATGAAATTATGACAGCATTTTAAAATTAGAAAGCATTAGGGCCGGGGAGATGGCTCAGTGGAATAAACGCTTCCTTGGCAAGTACAAGGGCCTGAGTTCAATCTCCGGTTCAAAAAAAAAATTAGAAAGCATAAGACGGAATGCATCATTTTGGCTAAAGTGTTCACAATATACTGTCTCAGAAATTTTGAAAATATTCATGACTTATTTGCAAATGCGTTGAATTACCTCTTTTCTTAATAGATGTTCTGCTTGATTTCTGGTAATGTTTCTATGGTACCACCTGTGAAAACAACAGAAATAATCTTTAAATTTTACATTTAAATGTTTCAGAAAAAAAAACAACTCTATGCCCTTCACTCTAAAGATCTTACTTTAAAATTGATTTTAGAAAGTTATGACTTTTTAAATTCAGATAAATCATGATGATCATGGGCCAATTCATCAAAATTAAAATCCTTTTACTAGCTTCAAGCCTATATCCAGTATATTTTCTTATCCCTCACTTAACTTTATAACTCACTCCCAGTGATTGTAGATAATTTTGAATGATTTCATATCTTGTAAAATTCCATGAAAAGTAAGTAACTAAGAGGTCATCAGGGCTGGGGATATAGCTCAGTGGCACAAGCACCTGCCTGACAAGTGCAAGCTCCTGAGTTCAATCCCTGGTACCAAAAAAAAAAAAAAAAAACAGTCATTGTCTCACACACAAATGCTGGACTTCAGCAGACAAACTTGGAAATAGCTGCTTTTTTTCCTCTAAAAAATATCTATTTTGTATGCTTTTACAAGTGTTAATTCCCATTCCAAAACTGAAAATGCATTCCAACTTTTCTGACTCTCTTAGTTAATGACATTACCTCTAAGTAGAGTTAGTAGTTAGCAGAGTGGGTGGAACAACAACCAAGACATCATCCTACTCTGAACACAATCTCCTGCCTAACTGTAGCCTTCCTCTTTTCTCATCCAGTGAGCTGAGGGCCACGTTATGATTATTTCCTTCTTCAAATCCACTGAATGCTTTTCTACCTTTGATCATTGTTTCCTCTGCATTAAACATGTCATTAAATGACTAGTTACACCAGTTACAGCAAACATTAATTAACATTATAAGGTAAACACATAGTTTGATATGACCATATCTTGTCAGTGGCTGAATGTTATACAGAAAAGAGAGGAAAATGATAGAAAGGAGAGAGAAAATTGAAAAAGTTTCATTTCAAGACTAGAGAATATTAAACTTAGTCAAATGCTGCCTGAGATTCTGCTTCAGGAAGGAAGACTGAGTAGCACATAACTATGCATTGAGTCATGGTGGCTGGTGGACCAGATGGCTGAACCTACTGGAAGCTGGAACCCACCCCTACCCACGGTCTCCCCCTTGATAGCCATTTGTGGACAGCTGCCTCTACGTTAGAAGGGCCAGCTATCTCAAAGGCTGATGTCATCAAACTGAAAGTAAACTTCACAAAGGATGAGACACCGAGAACGTGAGGTGATCACAGATGATTCTAGACAAAGTAATTTGAGCACTCACAAGTTGGAGCAAAAGTAACCTCAGTGTCACATGGTGAACAGCACTCAGGACTACTTAATAAATACTAACATTGCAGAGAAGAATTTTAAGAGGAGTCTGACATCTCTTGTTGTAGAAAAAGAAATTCCTTCAAAATAAATGAGGCAACATTAAAGACACAGGAACCTGCTTAAAGAGATCCTCCCAGGTTAGGACATGATATTTGGATATCATGAGGATAATGGGTATAATTCACTAAAATAACTTGAATCTGTAAAAACCAAAGACTGCACAAAGACACTCAAAAGGAGAAAAGTTAACATAAATTGCATTTTTAAACAATGTTTTTCACCTGCACTTCTGTTGATGTTAATTTTGTCACTTTGCATTTATTTATTATGATAATAAACATAACTATGCTAATTATGCTAAATGTACACTAAATATTTTATCTACTTGTGGAAATCCTTGGAATGATTTCAAAGTATTAACTAGAAAGCAGAGAAGCTATGTAATAAACTCAGGATCCTTTAAAATAATACAGAATTCAATTAAATAGTAAATGGATTCAATAAATGCAAATCAAAGGAGTTACAAGGATGATGTTTCACATTTCATCTATTTAAATCAGATACAAAATATTAAAATAATTTTTAAAAAATAGGTAAAGCTCTATCTAACTTGTGTAAGGCTATAGCCCACATTGGTAATAAACTAATATCAAAAATGTGGCCCAGTAGTTGGGCAGGACTCCTATGCACATAAAAATGTCTGGCATGTGGAATTACAGTTGAGTTGAAATTATCTGTGTATCTTTTGGCCTCAAGTTCCATGACCAATCTCAGATGTCTGACCAGTAATAGTATTGTAGTCTTAATTTTTTTTTTTAATCTAGGAACTCTAGTAGTAGCTCTAAGAAGATAGATCTGCTCCCTGCGACTTTCTAACTCTGAGAATATCAAGGATTCAGTACAGAGATGAGATAAATCAGACTTACACTTCTATGAAGTTCAGGATTGTTAACATACTTAGTATTTAAAGAGTTTCATTGCAAAAAAAAAAATCTAGTGCATTTGATTTTCACCACTGATTTTGAACGTGTAATTAATTTGAACTTGTTACTTGAAGCTGAAGAAAATTTGGTGAATTTTAAAATGACATTCATACAGATAAAACACTTAATTTCATTCATTTATAAGTTTAATTCATTGGATTTCCAAGATTATTTAAAAGATTTACCTACAGTTCAATTACATTTGTAAATTTACCCTGTCAAGCATGTGAAATATATAAAAGATAATTGAATGTATTCAGTTTACTAATGCAAATTAAATGTTTCAAGAAACATAATTAACTGAGTTTATAAAGAAGACGAATTATTTAAAGACATTTACTATGTGAATGTCTGTATGAAGATATGTGAATGAAGATAATTATTCTTATGAATGTGAGTGAAGATAATTATTCTTATTTAGGTAGATAAAAATATATATAACAAGATTTACATGTTGAATTTGAGAGCACGATGAAAACTATGTTTTTACATTGCAACGCTGATATTTTGGGTTTGTGCCTGAAGTGAAAGTATCCATAAATCTCTGTGTACAAAAGTTTCCTAAGATATTAGAAGATATTGAGCCAGGTGTGGTAGCACATGCTTGCAATCCCAGTGCTCTGAGAGGCTGAGGCAGGAAGATCACAAGTTCAAGGTCAAGTGCACACCCACAGCCCATCTCTCCCCAGTCACCCACCTCACACTCCTCCCATCTTAGCTCTCATTAGCCCTCCAAACAATGTTTTCTTTGCCTATCTTGTTTTCTCCCAGTGTTCTATACTGCTTACTGGTGCAAACTAAATGTGTCAAGAAATGTAACCAGCTGAGAGACTGGGCTTGGTGGCACACACCTGTAATCCCAGCACTT